GCAGCCAGCGAGCTGCAGCTTCTGCCTGTCCAGAATGTCACATAGGTGACAGATGGCAGTGGCTTCTCGGGTGGCTTCCTCTGCGGAGCCGCGCGTCTGAGGCCCATCTCTGCTCGCTCTCCGCCGAGTAATGCCCGTCGTCTGGCGGGTGTTTACCGCTCGTGGGCTGAGGCCACTGTCACGGCTGCTGGGGGTGCGTTTTACCACACGGGTGCTCACGTGTGTGTCTCATGATGAGCCTTCACACCCGTGTGTGCGGGGTGTTGCCCTCGCTGTCCAGCCCTGTAGCTGCACATCTGCGCTGTCAGGGCCGTGTCCTCAGCGTGGGCAGCCGGGCGATGCGGTCGTGCCTGGGGCCGGCCTCTGTGTCATGTTGCCGCATGCAGGGCCTCAGACGTGTCCCTGTGAGCACACACCTTACAGCTTCCAGTTTAAAAGTCAGTTCTGGGGCCGGCAGGTGGCGAGGCGGTTGAAGTGGCCGTGGGACTCCCGCGTGGCTGGCCGCAGTCCGAGCCTGAGCCTGACAGCTTGTTTTCTCTCACCGTCCTGGTGAGCGCATGTGCCTTAGCAGATTTAAAATGCTGGTGATAAGGGAAATTAAGTAGGTAATTCTTTTTAAAATAATCTGCCTTTCAGGACCAGCGCTTGGCATAGTGGTTACATCACTGGGGTTACATACTCCCATGTAGTCAGCTGCGGTTTGAATCCTGGACCTGGCGGCTTAAAACTCACGCCGGGCGCGTGTGCGAGCATGCCCAAGATCCAGAGGAGAATGGAGGAGAAGGGGTTGCGGCGTGGCCGGTGTGATTTCTCACTTTCTGTCTCTGTCTCTGCTTCTCCAGCGAGCGCACGCGCCGTATAGCCAAAGTCTCTCTAAGAAACAGAAGCCCTGCCCGTCGCCCCACACCCGCTGTGTTCAGCACCTCTTGCTGCTGTGTGACCTGAACGTGAGCTTGGTGTGGACAGTGGTGTGGCTTAGCAGCACACCTGGTGTCCTGGCCCTTACGCTCAGCCCCCTCCCGTCCTGGGGGCGTGCAGCCCACTGAGCACGTGCTGTAGGAGTGAGGCGGGGCCACGCCAGCCCAAATACAAATTTATTTTATTTTATTTTATTTTTTTTTTGCCAGAGGGTGTGTGTGCTTGCTGGAGAGAGGCACAGAGGGAAAGAAAGGAAGCACCCCTGGGCACGGCATGTCCCGGCCCTTCTCTGTCGCTCGTTCTTCTTGGACCTTGGGCAGCACGCACACATGTGCCCAGTGTGACACTCAGGCTGCCAGGTCCAAGGCTCGAATGGAGCTCCAGGCCACGTGGGGTCCGGCACCTTTGCCACTCGCCAGCCAGAGCTTACCATGCTGGCATTGTTTTCTTGGGAGAGACTTTTGCTGTGGGGTGTGTGCTCACCGGAGAGACAGAGGGACAGAAAGAGAGTGAGAAATCACCCCCCGGGGGCTGGCCACATGGCAGTCCCTTCTCCTCCATTCTCCTCTTGGGATTTGGGCACGCACGCACCTTGGGATTTGGGCACGCACCCTGAGCTCCGCGTTGGAAGTTACAAGCCTCTGGGTCCAGGAGTTGAACTGCAGTTGGCCGTGTGGGAGTCCAGTGCCTTAACCACTGTGTCACTTGCCGGCCCTTAGCCTTTATTTTAAATTGGAGATAAAACTTACATGGCTTGTAGCAGATTTATTTTTTAGGTTTTTGTTTTAGGGCATGTGTCCTTGCCAGAGTGGGAGACCACACTCTGGGGAGATGGCCATGCCACTGTCCCTTCTCTAGTCTCCTTTGGGGATCTTGGGTGGGCATGCACATGTGCCTGATATGATTGGGATTTGAACCCGTAGTTGGCCATGCGGGATCCACTGCCTTAGTCTCTGTGTCACCTGCTGGCCAGAGTTAACTACCTCTAAAACACAGATGTCATATTTTTTGTTCTTTTATTTAGAAAGAGAGGGAAAGTGAGAAAGTAAGCTGCCAGGTCTGGGACTCGAACCGCTGTGAGCTATGTGGAAGTCCAGTGCCCTTAATCACCGTGCCACCTGCCAGCCCCTAGACTTTATATTTTGAGCAGTTTTAGGGCCACAGAAAAGCCAAGGGGGGGTGCAGAGATCCTCATCACTGTGTGCCCGCCACACCCCTGCCATCAGCTCCGTCTGTCCCCACCGTCAGCTGCGCTGGCACGGCATCGTCACCACTCTGCGGTTTACGTCAGACCTACGATGAAGCTCCGAGTATCCATCCCCGCGCGCACAGTTGGCCCCGCCCACCCCGTCTAGTCTGAAAACACCTCCGTTGCCCCGGCAGGAACCTACCCCGCTCTGCCTTGCCCAGCCCTGGTGGCTTCTGACACGCTGGGCCTGCCGGTTCCGATGTCCGGCGTCAGGGCGGTGTCGCAGCGTGTGGCCTCCTGTGTCCGGCTTCACTCAGCATGCTTGCAGGTCCCCCCGTGGCGTGGCATAGGTCAGAGCTTCATGGCCGCGAGTCCCGCGTGTGGACGGACCATCCAGTCTGTTGTTGAGGGCATACGCCGCGGGCGTGAGACGACCATGTGGGTGTGTCACGCTCAGTCTCCGTGTGGGCCCGTTTCCAGACTCCAGCTTCGTGCTGGGCAGCTACAAGACTGTGCAGTGCCCGAAGCCGCCACGCCTGTGTCGCCAGGGCTACGCCTGCCCGCACTACCACAGCAGCAGGGACCGCCGGCGGGACCCCCGGAGGTTCCAGTACAGGTGAGCCGCGCCCTGCGGCAGGGGCGGGGGGGGGGCGGGTGCCTGCCGGGCTGCCTGTGGGTTTTGAGCAGCCCTGGGCATCCCTGTACCCTGCCAGGTGTCGGATGTGGCTCCTCCACTCGCCTGCCTGTGCCCTGGGCCCCGCCTTGGTGCCTCTCAGGTGGGCTGTGTCCTCTCCGTCCCCGTCTGGGGGTGACCCACCCAGTGCTCTCAGCCACTGTCCCCAGGAGGGGAAGTGGCTTGTCTGGTGGGATGCCTGAGTGTCAGCCCTGGGGACGGGGGGCTGGAACTGGCCAAGGCCTCTCTGTCCCCCGGCACAGGAGCCGCCACATGGTGAGGCACACCCAGCAACCTGGCTGCAGGTCCTCAAGCCTGAGTGGCCGTCTTGGGGACTGGGCCCTGCTTCCCCACTCAGCTCCGGTCTGACCTCGCCGGGACCCGTCCTCTTGGGGGCCGTGCCGCCCTCTCGTCCTCATCCCAAACGGTCCTGCGCCTCGCCCAGGGCCCACGCGGGCTTGTGGTCTGCACCGGGCGGGGTGTCAGGGCGCCTGCGCCTCCGTCCCCGTCTCGGCAGGGTCCAGGGGACATGGACACGTGCCTGGTGTGCTTCCTTCCCAGCTGCGGTGGGCCGGGCGGGGTCCAGCATCCACGTGGTGTGTAACCATTGTGCTGTGGGCCCGTCCCACCCCCCTTTTTAAAGATTTTTGCCACAGGGGGCATGCACTCGCGAGAGAGTTGGGGAGAGGGAGGAGGAGGGTGAGAAATACCCGGGGGATGGCCACACTGCAGTCCTTCCACCCCACTGTCTTCTCAGGGTTTCGGCATGCACTCGCGAGAGAGTTGGGGAGAGGGAGGAGGAGGGTGAGAAATACCCGGGGGATGGCCACACTGCAGTCCTTTCACTCCCACTGTCTTCTCAGGATTTCGGCATGCACTTGGCATTCTCAAGCTGCCAGGCCCAGGACTTGAACTGAGATTGGGCATGTGGGAGTCCTGCACTTTAGCCACCACACCACCTGCTGGTCCCCTACCTTCCCTCCTTTTGTTTTTAAAGAATTATTTTATTTAACTTTTATTTATTAATTTGACTAGAGAAGGACAGAGAGAGAGAGAAAGCTGCCAGGTCCAGGACTCGAACCACAGTTGGCCACATGGGAGTCCAGCACCTTAATCACCGTGCCACCTGCTCCCTCCGCAAAAGGTTTTAGGCTTAGGGCTCATGCACTTGCAGGGGCAGGGAAGACAGACAGAGACAGAGGGAAAATAAGAAACCACCCCCCACCCCAACCCCCCGCAGCGGGGATGGCCACACCACAATCCCTTCACCTTCCAGGAGTTTGGGCACGAAGCCAGCAGGTCTAGGACTCGAACCATGGTTGGGCATGTGGGAGTCTAGTGATGTAACCACCATGCCGTCTGCTGCCCACACCAGGCCTCATCAAGTCTCCCAGGCTCGTCTTGAGCTCGTGACCCTGGCCTCTGCCTATGTGGGCTGGCCCAGGGGTGGGGCCACACAGTAGGCGGAGATGCGGGAGAGCACCTTCCTCCTCGTGGTGGGGCGGGCTGGCTGGTTGGTGACAGTCATTGCTCTCTGAGGAGTGACCCCGGGACCTGATCGCTGCAGGGCAGAGCACGGTCTCTGAGCTGGCACTGCGCGGTGGCCAGACAGGTAAGCTGCTGCCCGCCGGGTGCTGGGGAATGGTAGAGAGGAATGGAAGGCCTGGCCCCGCAACGCCACACTGGGACTCAAACTGCAGTGTCGGGGGCCCAGCGTCACCTGGACCCCAGACAGTTCCGATCTCTGCCCTGGAAGCTTAGGAGACACACCACACACACGTGCGTGAATCATGGTGCGGTGAAACCAGGGACCGGCGGTGTGGCTCCCCGTTTGGAGTGCTCTCCCTCTGTACCATGGCCCCCCACCCCATTTGGGGTGCTCTCCCTCTGCAGTGTGGCTCCCCGTTTGGGGTGCTCTCCCTCTGCAGCGTGGCCCCCCACCCCGTTTGGGGTGCTCTCCCTCTGTGGCATGGCCCCCCACCCCATTTGGGGTGCTCTCCCTCTGCACTGTGTCTCCCCGTTTGGGGTGCTCTCCTTCTGCAGCATGGCCCCCCACCCTGTTTCGGGTGCTCTCCCCCTGCAATGTGACTCCCCCATTTGGGGTGCTCTCCCTCTGCAGCGTGGCCCCCCACCCCGTTTGGGGTGCTCTCCCTCTGCTGCGTGGCCCCCCACCCCGTTTTGGGTGCTCTCCCTCTGCAGTGTGGCTCCCTGTTTGGGGTGCTCTCCCTCTGCAGCATGGCTCCCCATTTGGGGTGCTCTCCCTCTGCAGCATGGCCCCCCACCCTGTTTGGGGTGCTCTCTCTCTCTCTCTGTCTCCGTCATGAGCTCATGTACCCTCTGGCAACTTCATAAAAAGTTGGGGCACTCAGTGGCCTGAGTGTTAAAACGACAGATCCCACATGGCTGACAGTGCTTGAGAAATACCCGGGCGTGTGTGCGTGCGTGCCCAAAATCTCAAGAGGATGATGGAGGAGAAGGGCTTGTGGCATGGCCGTCCCCAGGGGCTCTTTCTCTCTGCGTGTCCCTCTAGCCAGCGCATGCGCCTCTGGTAGCTAGAGGAGGAGCAGGCCGTCCTGCCCTCGGGACTGGTCTCGTCTCGCCCAGCCAGCCACTGCCAGCAGGCAGGCACCAGCAGGCAGGCACCAGCAGGCAGGCAGCTGGAGCGGCCGGGGTGCTGTGTGGGCGTGCAGGCTGTCGGATCCCATGGCTTTTCCCATTTTGTGGTGAGTCCGGGGCTGCAGAGCCCTGGGTGTAGGGTGGGCCCGATGGGCTGTCTGCCCCTGCCACCAGCGCCAGGGCCCCCACCCAGGTGGGGGGTTCTGCTTGGAGTCCTCACACTCTTGGAGACAGGGCTGCTGACTGACTCGTGGCTTCCGATGCCGTTCACCTGGCTTTGTGCTCATCAGGGAGGAAGCTGGTCAGTTTGGGGTCCCTGCGGTGGCCTTGGTGGCCCAGGGCACATGGAGGCCATGTCTGGCCTGTCCTCCAGCCGCTGTCCTTGTCTCAGGTCCACGCCCTGTCCCAGTGTGAAGCGCGGTGACGAGTGGGGGGAGCCCTCGCGGTGCGACGGTGGGGACGGCTGTCAGTACTGCCATTCCCGCACGGAGCAGCAGTTCCACCCCGAGGTAGGAGCTGGCCCGGCCAGCGGTCAGTGTCCTTGCCGTGTGGGGTCCCCAGACTCGAAGGAGCCCTCACATCGCCGCCATGTCCCTTCCTGGCAGGACAGGTAGCACCCGCCGTGGAGGAGGCGGGGTTGCCGGGAGAGCGGGCACTGCCCTGGCCCTCCATCCCTGCCTGGGGAACGAGGCCATGAGGGGTGCCACGTGGACGCTCCGTGTGGTGCAGGCCCCAGGGCTGGTCCCGCAGGCCTGGCTGACTGCCCGGCCGCCACCCTAGGAGCGCTGGAGGCTGGGCTGGCCCTTGTGGCTCACAGCCTCTCCTGGCTCACGTGAGGCCAGCTGTCCCACCAGGCCCGCCCCTAGGCGGGTGGAGGAGCTCATGCGCAGGTGTGTGCAGGGCGTCGGGGGCCGCCCAGTGTGGCACGCCGCCTGGTGGCACCACGGGGGTCTGTTTCCGGGTCAGGAGGGTGAGCTCAGGTGGTGCCCGTGGTGGGCAGGGCCAGGCCAGAGGCCAGCAGGCGGCTTCCCAGCAGGCATGGGCCGTGGGCGAGGTGCGGTGCGGGGTGTGGTGGCCGGTCGGGCTGTCCCATGTCCTCCCCAAGCGTGAGGGTGGCAGGGCAGAGGGCTTGGCTTTGTCCTATGAGGACTCTGGGGGCCTGGCAGCAGCTCTGCCCAGACAGGAGTGTGTCACCCGAGGGGATATTGCCACGGCAACCATGAGTTGCCATGTTGCTCGCTGTGCCCCCACCCTCCTAGAAGTGCAGGGGGCAGGGCCTGCGTGGCTACCAGCGCTGCCTGGCCCCGGCCCCTGGCCCCTGGCCGAGCTCCTGAGGAACATTGGGAGGGACGGGATGATGGTGTCCCTGTCCTCTTGGGGTTCTCGTGGTGAGAGCTGCTTCTCTGCCTGGGCCGACCCTGTTTCTGACCGGACTCTGCCCACCCCTGTCTCCTAGGTCTACAAGTCCACCCAGTGCAATGACATGCGCCAGACCGGCCACTGCCCCCGCGGCCCCTTCTGTGCCTTCGCGCACGTGGACAGTGAGTAGGCGGCGCCTCCTTCACGCGGTCAGGCCGGCGGCACAGGCCCCGCTGCTCCTTCCCGGGGTGGGAAGTGGTGGGAGCTCGGCTGGGGCTCAGCACCCAGAGCTCCCGGGTGGGCCTCGTGGAGTGCGCTGTCGCAGGCCTCCGCGGGCTGGAGCCCGTGCTGTCCTCCAGCCTGCCGGCCCGGCACAGCTGGAGCAACCGTGGGCCCTTGCCTGCAGGCCTGCTGGTTCTGGCACCTCCCCTGGCCCCGAGCCAGTGTCCCTGAGCACTGAGAGGCACTGCCCTGGCAGGAGAGTGACCCTTAAAGCAAAGCCTGGCCTTCTGGGCTCAGTGAGGCTGCTCCGCGGGCTGGAGCCCGTGCTGTCCTCCAGCCTGCCGGCCCGGCACAGCTGGAGCAACCGTGGGCCCTTGCCTGCAGGCCTGCTGGTTCTGGCACCTCCCCTGGCCCCGAGCCAGTGTCCCTGAGCACTGAGAGGCACTGCCCTGGCAGGAGAGTGACCCTTAAAGCAAAGCCTGGCCTTCTGGGCTCAGTGAGGCTGCGGGTGGGTGAGGCCGGCACAGAGGCCTTGGCCAGGTGGACCCCAAAGGGCCTAGCCCCTGGCGAGAGCCCACAAGGCCCAGTCGTCCTTGGCCCAGGGCTGCCGCATCACAGCATCAGGCGGGCCTGGTGTGTGTTAGGGCGGCCACAAGCCCAGGCTGTACCCGCGGCCTGCATTTCCGAAGGGACAGTGGCTGTGCTCCATGTCCGTTTGGGTGGGTTGGTGGGTTTTACACGTTTGTTGCAGCGTGCATGCAGTGGCCCGACGGAGAGCTGGACTATGAGGAAGCCTCCCGGGGCATGGCCACGTCGCAGTCTTTCTCTTCCGTTCTCCTCTGGGACTCTGGGCACACGTGCACACCTGCTGGCGTGTTTTCCAAGCCACCGGGTCTGGGATGAGAGCCTCGCAGCCGCCCGTGTGGGGCCCAGCGCCTTAGCCACCGTGCACGTGCGGGCTCCTATTTCCGTCTGATTTTTAAAAAGAATTATTTTTTATTTAACTTTATTTATTATTATTCTTTTCCAGTTTGATCAGAGAGAGTCAGGGAGGGGCAGGGAAGGTGAGAAAGCTAGCCGCCAGGGCGGGGCTCGAACGCGGTCAGCCACGCTCCAGCCCCATTTGCGTATTAAGCGCTCGCCGTCGTGTTAACCCACTGCAGCCGCACCTCTGCTGCCCGGCCCCGCCCTGTCACTAGTGCTGCGCGCGCCGAGACCTCGTGAGTGCGGTGGCGCTGCCGGCCGGTGCCCCTCACCTGCTGCCCCTCTCTGCAGAGAGCCTCGGGATGGCGCACGGCTGGGGCTGCCGCACCCTCACCTCTGCCACCAGCTCCTCGGCCACCAGCGGGCAGCCTGGACACGTGAGTGGGCAGACGCGTGCCCTGGATGCCGTGCTTCGGTTACCCCGCCCTAGGGCGCAGTGCGTGTAGTCTCTGGGGGCCACGCTCAGAGGCCCTGCCTGCAGAGGTGGTGGCTTTTCCAGAAGAGCCTAGGCAGGTTCCGGGCCATGCCTAGGCAGGTTGTGGCCACGCCTTGGCACGCCCGGGCAGCCATGCTTTCAGAGTGGTCTCAGGCGGCCACCAGAAGGGGCCTTGGTCCGGATGCTGCCTCATGTGGCTGCAGGCCGGTGGTGGGCCGGGGGCGCTGTGGGTGTGCAGGCCGAGTCATGGGGTGCGACCTGCGCCCCCTGGGGCTGGCTGACCTCAGCTGGCCTCACAGCTGCTTGCTTGCAAGGCAGCCCGAGCCCTGACAGGGCGCCCTGAGCCGATGAGACGTGGCGGGCAGGCGCGGGGCTTTTCCCACCGGGCGCCGCAGTTGCCCCACCCCGAGACCGTCGAGTCCTGGGGCGCGCTGTGCTGGCTACGCCCGCCGTTCCTCACTGGGCACGAGGCAGGGCCCACTGCCCCTCACTACTCAGGCCTAGACGGCGGCCCCTTGAAGTGCCCTCCATAGCCCAGCCGGGCCATGGTTGCCTCAGGGGCCCAGCAGCCCCTCGGAGGGTGGGTCGGCTGTCTTCGGATGG